TAATTCGAATTAGGGTTAGTGTGGACGCACACCACCGAATTACTGTGTTTAAGTTAATGGGGTAGTGTGGCCGCACACCACCGAATTAATGTGGTTTAAAACCGAATTAAGGTGCTTAGTGTGGCCGCGCACAATCGAATTTATACAACCTGTTTCCCAAATTCAAATTATCTAAATTCGGATTAATCCTGTAGTGTAGACATACCCCAGGTGTCAGCGCCATGTCTGACACCCCCCCCCGTCCCCAGGTCCCTGAAAAGCGAGTCTCCGAGATGCTGCATTTCCGAGTCTCTGACGACCTGCGGAGCATCGAGGAGCCAGGTATCCGGGCGGCTGCGGGTCGGGAGTGAGGGGCGCCAGTGGGGCCGGGGGGGCTGCGGGTCAGGAGTGAGGGGGGCCGGGGGGGCTGCGGGGCGGGAGGGAGGGGGGCTGGGGGGGGGGGGGCTGCAGGTCGGGAGTGGGGGGCGCCGGGGCTGGGGGGCTGCGGGTCGGGAGTGAGGGGCGCCGGCGGAGCTGGGGGTGTCTCTCTCCTGCCCCCCCTCGTTCATTCCCTCTCCCCCCAGAGCCGGCCAAGCGGCAGAAGCTGGACTACAGGACGGATTCGATTCACAAGCGGCTCCCGTCCTCCCTGCACAGATCCAGCCCCCGTGCCAGCACTGAGGTACGGCCCCACCCGGACGCCTGGGTCCCTCCTTCCCTCTCTCCCTCCGGGGCACGATGCGGCTCTGACCCATTGTCCTCCCCAGATCACGGTGACGGAGGAAATGGCGGCTCCGCCCAGTGAGTCCCGCCCCCTTGGGGACCCCTCGGGGGCCCGGGGAGCAGGGGGGCCCCTGGAGGAGTGGGAGACTGAGGTGGGCGAGGACTTCAGCCTTTTCTACGACAGCTACTCCGTGGACGAGCACGGCGACTCGGACAGCAAGGTGGGGCGTGGGGGGCTGCGCACACGGGGACCCCTCACCCGGCGCTCAGATGCGGCCGGCTCTGGGGTGAGGTGTGAGGGCTGGTTATCCGAGGACCCCTGGCCCCGCTCTGAGATGTGTCTGGCTCTGGGGTGGGGTGTGAGGGCTGGTTATCCGGGGACCCCTGGCCCTGCACTAAGGTGTGGCTGGTTCTGGGGTGGGGTGCGAGGGCTGGTTATCTGGGGATCCCCGGCCCTGCACTGAGATGCGACTGGCTCTGGGGTGGGGTGCGCCTGGGGCTGCTCACATGGGGACCCCTTGCCCAGCGCTCAGATGCGGCTGGCTCTGGGGTGGGGCGTGAGGGCTAGTTATCTGGGGACCCCTGGCCCTGCACTGAGCTGCAGCTGGCTCTGGGCTGGGGTGCGGCGTGTTTGGGACGGGTAGAGGAATCACAGCTCAGTCGGGGTGGGGCCCGGATGCCTGGGTTCGATTCTCTCCCCCGCCCCCCCCAGCTGAGCTTTTTCCTTCTCTTGTCCAGTCGGAGGCTGACAGGGCGGGGGAACAAATGAGTGAGGAAGAGGAGGAGGAGGAGGAGGAGGAAGAGGAAGAGGACGAAGAAGACGAAGAATCCGGGACCATGTCCGACAGGGTGAGCCCCCGGGGGGGGCAGGATAGGGGCGGCGGGGGGGGGTGGCAGGAGAACTCACCCTCCTTCTCTTCCCCCATGACCGTTTCGTTCTCTCGTTCTTCCCCCCCGTCGCTCTGTGCCCCCCCCGCCCAGAGCGCCTCCAGCACCAAGCGGAAAGCCAAGAAGCGCTGGAAAAACGACAGCCCCTGGGTCAAGCCGTCCCGCAAACGCAAGAGGAAGGAGGCTCGGCCCAAGGACGGGCGAGGTGAGGGGGGCACGAGGAGGGTGCGGCCTGGTGTTAGGGGCTGATTCCTTCACCCACTCACTTCCCGGGTCCGTCTCGCATGAACAGAGCAGCAGCACCCGAACTCCGAAGGTGCAGACAACTCGATGGTTATTGGGGGGAACTTCCAGCGAGCAGGAGTCCGGCTTCCTTCCTCAGTGTCCCCCTTCCCAGCTCTGACACCACAGAGCCTGGCTTGTGTCCCTGTTCCC